TTTCTGTAGCAACAATTTTTAGGAGGTGGGAGGAGCTCAACTTTGAAACCACTGAGCCACGGGGCCAGAAATGATTAAGAACCACCGAGTTATGCTAAACTAGGAGTGAATAGCTGGAAAAGGAGGAGGTGTTCATGAGAGAATAAAGGAGGCAGATCTAACAGGATTTCAAGTTTCATAAAATGTAGGGATGAGAAGAAGGCATCAACCAAGGGAACAGAGGCTAAAGCTCAGTGACAGAGTAGCTCACACAGGCCCTGCTCCAAACACAACACCACAAACACACCAACACAAATATGGACAATCACTAATTCCAGTCTCCGAAAGGCCCAAGTATATCTGTCAGGAATCAGAGGACACTGAAGATTACAGGTAGGGAACAGTCCTTCTGTTCAAGACCAATGGCATTTTGCCAATTTCTGCTGAATCCAGACCACGACAGGATTTCATTCATTAGCTCATCATCAAAACAAACAATCCTGGATAATTTCTTTTTAAAATGTTGGAATTACAGTTTAATAACTCTTTAACAGATTCAAGTAAAACTGCAGGGGTTTCATACAGAGGCTGCTCTGATTAAAATGTGCACTCAAATACAAAATCAGCAAATGTGACCTTTTCCCTGCATTGGAGTCTTGACAGAACTTTACAGTAACAAACAGGCTATACACAAGACAGATCATTTGGCTACCAGAAATAGACTCAATATTAATCTTGTACTCTGAGCCACTCAACGACTATGTGCAAATGTGACACGTTCAGGCCAGTCAGTAGTGTCTGAGACCAAAGAGTCTGCCTGATTTTACTGGGGACAGAATAAAATCCTTCAAAAACTAGCTCTCTACAATTAGAAAATGAATGTTCCTCTATCCATCTTGCCAGAGCAAGATAATACAGAACATTTAAACTTAACTTGAATACAAGGACAGTGTATCAGAAACCTAGTTCTTGGGGGTGTAGAAGGCTGGCTCAGCGCTTACTGCTTGTCCAGAGGACGCTATCAGTATCCACGCCAGAGGGCTCACAACCTCCTACAAGTCCTGCTCCAGCGGATCCAATGCCCGCTCTGGCCTCCGCAGGAACTGCACCCACGTGCACACACAATTAAACATAGCTGTGAGAATCAAAAAGAAAAAAAATTAAGTAAACCTAGCTCTCTCGATGAACGCAATAGAACGTGCACATTTACTGAAACACAAAACGCTACCTCACCCTAAACTTTTTGTTTTGGGACAGGGTCTCATTTTTTTTGGCCTAGACCTGTCTGGAACTCGCGGTAATCTTCCTGCCTCAGCTTTCTGAGTATTGGCCCCACAGATAGAACAAACCACTCCCGGCTCCAATCGATCATTTTAAGCCTATGAGTTTTCGGCTCCTCACAACTATGCACCTCGACCGCTGCCCTAGTCCCTAAACAGGTAGCCATTGGCCGCCCGCTTAGGAGAGCCCAGCTTTGGAAAGACATAATAGGCACGAGCAATGCGGTAACCATGCCGACCGGACCTCAGTGCCACTTCCGGCTTCCACGATTGCCGGGACAAGCGGCGGCAGCCCGGGCGAGATAGAAGGGCTCCCGCGGCCGAGGAGTCTCGATCAGGCCGACCCTACTCACTTCTTCAGTTCGGGAGGGTGGGCTTTGCTCATGGCGACTCCTTAGCTGGCTCAGCACAACGGCGAAGGAGTGAGCGGCCTCAGAAACGCGCGCAAGGAGGCTTTGGCGCTGATGTCTGACGTCAATGCCACGCGAGCCAATCGCCTTCGGAGAACATTACCCTTCATCTTCTCGCGATACTGATAGGGAAGCCTGAACGTGCGGACGAGAGCCACGCTTCCGGTTGCGTCGTCAGTGACTGGCCAGGACGGAGAGGCGGTGCTTGTCTAAGCTTCCTTTGTGTCAAATTGAAGTGGCAGGTCACTTTAAAAACAAACTCCTTTATTTATATTTTATGTATGAGTGCTCTACATGTATACCTGGATGCCAGAAGAGGACTTCAGATCCTATTGTAGATGTTTGTGAGTCACTATGTGAGTGCTGGGAATTGAACTCAGGACCTTTGAAAGAGCAGGCAGTGGTTTTAGCTGCTGAACCATCTCTCCAGCCTGTGTGTCACTTTTTTCTTTCCTTTTCCCATTTACTACATTTTTTTCCTTTACATTTTTGTCGTTTCCCCTGCCCTTTCCTCTTTCTGTTTTTGTCGTAATTCATGCTGGCCTCGAGTTCACTGTAGTCAAAGCTGGCTTTGAATCACTGCTTCATATGCTAGAATTACAGGTAGTCGCACCATGCTGACCTTAATTTCCTACGCATACCCAGGTGAAGCTGAGGGTTCCTGAAGCACCCAAGTTAACGAATAGCTCGTCTGCACCAGTAGCTGGAAGGTGGCTAGGCTGATTCTCTCGAGGCTGGGAATCCAGGGTCTGAAGTAGTTTTGATCCATCGTTCCTCAGTTCTAACATTGCCTTCAAAACCCACTTAGCACACCACGGTCCGTACATAAAATGTGAGGAGTACCACAAGTCCTGAGGTATTGAGCTTGCCCCTGTGCTGGGGATAACGGTGTGCACCCTCCCAGGGTGGTGGCACTGTCTTCAGTGCACTGGTCTCTCTTAGTCATTAAGAAAATGACCCACAGACATAGACCTGTTAGATGGAGGCAATTCTTCAATTGCGGTTCTCCCTGTGATTAGTTTGTGTCAGCAACAAAAAGTAGCACAAGAATGCTTAACTATATACTCTTCCCACCACTTGCTTTGCCAGTTGAAAGTAGAAAATGAACGTGAATATTAACAGTCTTTAGCACAGGCTGACCACAAAGCAGGAGAGAAATCCTGAGCTCTGCCTTACAGTACTGAGATTACAGGTATGTACCTTTAATCCTGGTTATTTTTTCAACATTGACAGCATTCAAGTTACGATGCTCTCTGGCTTTCTTAGTGTTTCCCATTTACTGATATATCACTACCCAAAAGAAAAAGCTGGAGACAATGAAACTTTATTTAAAAACCGAACCACTTGGAAAATATATTGCAGGCTGGACACAGCAAACAGACAGATGTATCACTATTTCAAGTAATTGATTGGTATAAATACAACACAGTACTTATCCAAAAGATAAGATGCTATGTTAGGCCAGCAACACTGCACTGCAAAACTCCAGGCAAAGATGGCAGTTGGTAAGAAGGTGTGTGCTCTCTGTGGTCCTGGCTCTCCTTGGCCTAAGTTGCTTACTTTTAGGCCTCCTTGTTGGTAAGGCTCTGTAAATTCAGAGCTGATTAATACTAGGTTTGCACTATTATTTTGTGAACCCAAGTCCAACACTTCTCAACAATTCCTATTTACTGTTTATTCTTAGTGACAGGCATGTGACAACCAAACCCTTGCTTTTCATGAGGATGTGTCACTTTGCTGCGCAAGTCAATGAAGAAAGCTGTTTCCCATGTCACTGTGACACTGTCTGCTTCTTCAGGGGCTTCTAGAATAACAGAATTTGAAAACTAGACATTCCCATCTTGATGGTAGAAAATACTAGAAACCTTTGGAAGTTATTCAAACCACTCTCCTTCCTGTATCTTAAATCCACTGTGTGCCCTTGCATGTAAGACAAAACTAAGCAAAATATAGATTTGAAAAGGAAATCCTTTCCTTTCTCTAAATTACTAGCCTACTGGGTTTTGTTTCACAGCATATGCAAGGTGGTGTGGTGATACTTGTGGTAAGCAGGATTTGCCAAGCTTCTCTGAGGAGACACACCTCTCCTCAGATTTTACCAGCAGGTTGAAGAGAGCCGCCAGCTTGGATGTTTGTAGTAAGAACCTCAGCCCTTGGTATAAGGTTGATCTCTACTACAGAACAAACACTTGCACATGAATATTTAGGATCTAGACTTCTCCTCCAAGCTATCTGCGATCCAAATCTTAGCACCAGCTTCTTTCCACTTCACCTTCTAAAATCCAGTGTCCAGCAGTGAGCAGCATTTGCCTGGAACTTGCTGTGTCTTAAGTTTTCCTCATTCGTAAACATTGCTTAACATATTAAACTTCCATTCTTCCTTTTAAATAGCCTGCCCTCAGCCCCAATGGTCACTGGCAAACAATTTTATTTCCCGATGGATGACAGAGACTCCTTCATCTTCTTGGTCATTGTTGGGATGAGGTGCATGTGGTCATCCACACATTTGGCCACACAGCTGTCTAGCTGTCGCTTCACCTGAAGCTCCTTAGTTCCTGCATCCATTGAGTCTTTGGCTTTGTCGTTGCAGTGCATGGTGCACCGTGCTAGGCGGTCCTGTGATGAGAAGGAAGAGAGAGAAGGCTGAGAGGCTGACTTCCATTGTCTGAGTGTTGGTCCCATGTCAGGCCTTGGGCTACAGGCTCGATATAGATTGTCTCTGCCAGTGTAACACTCTCTTAGCTCACACAGAAGGTGCCACTGGGAAGGCTCAGACTAAGCACTGAGCAGGGGAATGAAAACAAAGAACTTTATACAAGATGCTGGCAGCAAACAAAAGACTATTGCTGGACTTATAAACACCTCGACTCTTTTTCCATTCTTCCATTTCTCACGGGTGGTGCTGTGGATTTTTAGACGCGTGGATTTGTGGATTTTTTTTTTAGATTTGTGGATGTGGAGGCCTGAGGTACATGTTAGGAACCATCCTCCATTGCTCTTCCACATAGTCACTGAGGCAGGGTTCTCAACCAAACCCAGCTAGTCTTGCTTGTCAGTGTGCTGTAGAGATTCTGCCTCTGCCTTCTAGGGCTAGACTTACAGGCGGACTGCCACGCCCAAGAGACAATGGTTTCTGGTGATATCAACTCTGGGCCTCCTGTTTGCATGGCAAGTGCTTTATCCCCTCAACCATCTCCCTAGCACACACTTTAGTTCTTTACTGTCTGTCCTTGCCACAAAAAAAACAGTTCAAGCCAGGTGGAGATGGCGCACGCCTTTAATCCCAGCACTTTGGAGGCAGAGGCAGGCAGATTTCTGAGTTCGAGGCCAGCCTGGTCTACCAAGTGAGTTCCAGGACAGCCAGGGCTACACAGAGAAACCCTGTCTTGAAACAAAACAAAACAAAACCAAGAAAAAAAAAAACCCCAACAAAAACAGTTCAAGTACTTGTCAAGCAACTTACTCTGTGCCAGCCAGGCTTTCTTCTAGTGTGGAGTCAGAAATGAACAAAGCATACACGTTCCTGCTCATATGGAACCAAGAGTCTAGGGTAGAGATGCTAAGAGAAGAGTAGAAAGCGAGTTGGGAGTTCAGGAGTAAGGTCTGAATGAATGCAAACACTGTTAGGGGTATCTAACAATGTGGCTTCCCTTGGCTACATTGTTATCTACAGTCACTAGGGGTGGCGGCACACACTTTTAATCCCAGCACTTGGGAGCTAGAGGCAGGCAGATCTCTGAGTTTAAAGCCAGTATGGTCTACATAGAATGTTCCAGGACAGCCAGGGCAAACAGAGAAACTGTCTTAAAAAAAGAAAGGAGGGGGGAGGAAACCCACAAAAATAGCTAACACGCTAACACACACACACACACACACACACACACACACACACACACACACACGCGTCTCAAAAATAGTTAAATATGTTTGTAATTTTATGTTGGCTTGATTGTGGCCCATAGGCCACAGGTTGGGCACTTCTGCTATAGGACATTAGCAGTTATGAGAAAAGAGGCCAGGACCAATGTCAGCTTGTGTACTCTAATGATCAGAGGCAGAAAACGGGAAAAAAAAAAGTCAGCAAAGGAGGCAGAGATAAATGGTCTGGAGGTGGAACCCCAGAAGTAAGGTATCCTGTGGTTAAATGGTTAGAGTGCTTGAAGGAGAAGGAACTATATACAGACACGTCAAGGCAGAGGACTGAGCAGCGACTGCTGGACCTAGCCTCACGGGTGCCCCCCTCATCACCACTGCCAGCAGCTCTGCAAATGAGAGTTAGCCTGGACCGACTGTAAAGGGAAGGGAAGGAGACACTTACATAGCAGCCCAAGAATTAACTTTTCAAAGATCTGATCTAGAAATTCCTCAAAACTAAAAAAGGGAAAATACTTCACAACAGCAGTGACTTTGAAGAGTTTTGTGCATCAGAGTGTGAAAGTATACCCCATACTGGGTGTAACTGTCAGGTGAATGGAACCCCAGGCTATCAGAAGTGTTTGCTTCCAAAGCCCACAAATACACTTACAGGAAGGGAGTAAAATGAACGTATGGATATCTTTTGTTCCAGGAAGGAACAGAAGATTTTATAGTAATGGCTTGGTGTCACAGGTCTGTAATGCCAGCACTTGGGAGGCAGAGACAGGAGGATTGCTCAGTTTCAGGTCAGCTTAAGCTACAGAGCTGAGATCCTGTCTCAAAAAACTCTAGTAATGCTTTTTGTGACTGATCTTTCTATGCCATGAAAATTCTCTCCAGGTGTTCCAAACAGGGGGCACTCTGGGGATGATGGTTTAAGTCCACAAATATTGTTAATATAGTGCCCCAGTCTTTACCTTTTCAATTGTGTGTGACATATAACTACCTCGAGCAGAGGTCAGAGGTCAACTTGTGAAGTTGGTTCTCTCCTTCCATCGTTATGTGGGTTCTGGGGATCAAACTTAGGTTGTCAGACTTGTGTGGCAAGTCCTGAGCTAGCCACTAATTTATATCTTTTTAAGGTCATTATCTTAGTTCACTTTTCTGGAAACTTTGTTATTTTAAAAATCAGTCAAGCCAGGCAGTGGTGGTGCACGCCTTTAATCCCAGCACTTGGGAGGCAGAGACAAGCAGATTTCTGAGTTTGAGGCCAGCCTGGTCTACAGAGTGAGTTCCAAGACAGCCAGGGCCACACAGAGAAACCCTGTCTTGAAAAACAACAAAAAACAACAACAACAAAAACAAACAAACAAAAACAAAAAAGAAAGAAAGAAAGAAAGAAAGAAAGGAAGAAAGAAAGAAAGAAAGAAAATGCACTTCCCAGGCCAGGTGGTAGTGGCTGACACCTTTAATCCCAGCACTTGGGAGGCAGAGGCAGGCAGATTTCTGAGTTCGAGCCTAGCCTGGTCTACAGAGTGAGTTCCAGGACAGCCAGGGCTACACAGAGAAACCCTGTCTTGAAAAACAAAACAAAAACAAACAAACAAACAAACAAACAAAACAAAAAAAAAAAAAAAGAAAGAAAGAATGAAAGAAAAAGAATGCACTTTCCAGGCCAGGCGGTAGTGGTTGATGCCTTTAATCCCAGCACTTAGGAGGCAGAGGCAGGCAGATTTCTTGGTTCGAGGCTAGCCTGGTCTACAGAGTGAGTTCCAGGAC